CCATCTAGAACCCACCAGTCCGCGTCGGTTTGTAAAACAATTCATAAAAGAACACGAAAAATGTATAATGCAGTTGGGTGTTTCAAACCTCACACTTGGCTTTACACCGAGCTCAATTAAACCAACAACCGACAACCTCACTCATGTTATGAATGGGAAAATATATTTGATAAGCACATGCGAGTGCTCCCATGACTTGCAGTCACGCAAGTGCAGAGTTAGAGTTATGTGTTGGTTTGAGTTTTTCTTTGCATTGCTACTAGTCTGTTGGTTGTTATAGACTAATAATAATCCAATATAACATTATAACTTCAATTATTTTTGTTGTTCCTTAACAACACACGGGCGTTATGTTAGTATACATGCAAGAATTTAGAGGGTATTATTCTAATTTTATTCTTTATAAATTTATTGCTATAAATTCCCGCAACAATACGATGAGAATTATTTAGTGACGATTTTGTGAATATACCATTGTACAATCAGCAACAAAATCATGTAGGATAGGTGGATAATAATGCTAAGACTATTATATGTGTTAGAAATACTCATGATAAAACTATTGTTCTTCCAGTCAAAGTGTTTTTTGGCTTTTCGCTTGCACAACATGTCCTTATACCTACCTGTTCACTCATCACACCACCTGTACATGGTCAGGAAGATAAAATCAATCATCAAAAAAAGTAAAAAGCCAATATCGATAGATAATTTTGGTCCCCGCACGCCGGTTGAGCGAGCTGACCATTTAGCAGCCCAGTCCACAACGCAGGCAAGAGCATAAACCGACATGTTAAAAGAAATGAAAAACAAAGTTCCAAAGACGATGGTACACCTTCACAACATCAGGCAGAGTTCACCACAGTACACGCAACACCCATTCGCAAAACAGGAGAAACCAAAAAAAAAAAAAAAAACATATGCAACACCCAGATCCTCCAAGCCAGTTAGCATGGACAACATGGCGATGTTCATCGCCCTAACTCCACTATCAAGACTAATAGTAATAGGCAACAACTCGATCTGTTGTACACGGGAAATAATCCCAAAAGGCATGGTAAACTAGCATCCAAATATTCTAGGTAACAGATGGAGCAGCTCTCCCATGAACTGTTAGTTATCTTGCATTACAACACCATCCCGCGATCATGGAGTTCTATATTTATACATAGTCTAGGTAGGTAGGAATCTGGCCCGCCCTAAGTTACTCAGCAGGATGACAAGTCGTCTAACTAACCATGGCTTAAGATGCATTCAGCTAGTAGGCGGTAATGATCTTGAGGACTTCTTTCTCTTCGAAGCCAGTGCTGATAGTATCTTCTTCCGAGGGCCCTGTGAGCATAATCGAGTTACCAAATTAATATGGATGGAACATCTTGGGAAAAGATATAATCCATTTAGAGTAAGTATACTGGTAAAGGCAGAGGTTAAGCTTTAGGCAAAAATCTTTACAAGCAGACCAAAAGCAAAAAGAAAGCTGAACAATAATAAATGGATTGTGGTTTTTAGATGTGTTACATGGTATTGCATACTGGTAATGGCAGTTTGCTGAACCTTTATGTGGACAGTGAGCCGCTTTGTAATATGCTAAATCTGATATAGAAGCTGAATGTAGCTTGAGGTACTAATTACTTAACCAGTTTACTTCCTTTTACCCAACCTATGCTAATATACATTTAATAACTGAGCTGATTGGATGCAAACCCAACACGACAAAAATCAGATAGAGAGACACACCATAGTAACACAACACATGCGCGCCAAGCAAAAGCAAAAGAAAGGCATGGCTGGTGCATTAAATCACTCAATTGCTACAATTTTACTTTGACGGCTATGTCAATCAACATCCAGGATAGATCGGCATATACCTGCTATACCAGTTTAGTCTTACATTACTCAGGGCGAAAGATTTCTTATTGTAGCAACATAGTTTAAATACATTTTGGGGAAAAGGAACAAGCTTCTAAAGGCTGTGCGATAAAACAGTGTAGCAAATTAAGTTCGTGTAGTACCATTGGAATTCCTAATGACTTCATATCTTCCTCATTCATGTGAACCAATGCTTTCATATCAACCTGAAAATTGAATATACATCAACAAATGTAGTAGCACATCCACAGTTTGAAATTGTCACATAAATCAAACATGCCTCTTCAGCCTGGAAATTAATGGAATACTTCTCCAGATCAAGAGACTTCAGCAATCTGTCAAGTGAGGCATCAGCCTGCAGGTTCCAAATAAAGAATTGAGAATACCTAATTATGAAATCTCTCATGTAACCAACAAGCATCTAGACAAGAATAACTGTACAGTGCTATGAAACTAGGCAGACAAAACTTTTGGATCAAAACAGGCAAACATCCTAAAGAAGTAAGGGATTAACATATATAAGAATAGTATACTACACAAGGATCAGAGTTCAAATTAAAGGTTGTGCATATTATATGTTCAGGCAGAAACAATTCCATTGCATTCACAGCACTAAACGCTAAGTAAAGTAGAACTTAACATGTCAACAACCACTAGACTAGAACAACAAACAAAATGTGATAGCTCATCAGAATAAGAGTTTGTAAGAAGATTCCAGAGAACTCTCCTACCTTTTCATGGGATTGCTTTGGTGCAGCTGGTGCATTTACTTGTTCAGTGACAGGACGGGCAGCAACAGCAGCAGCAGCAGGGATCTGTCTCTTTTGAACAGGTTTAGCACTATTAGCAATATCAGCTGCAGGTTTTGGGATCTGAACTGTACTACTGAGTTGAGGGCGCTGGCCTCCAGATAACTTTTCACGAAGATCTGGAACTGATGATTTCTTCACATCCACAGTGCTTTGCTTAATATGTGATTTTTGGATTGCTTGAAGATTTCTGGAAGCAGGTACAGCTTAACCACACACAGCAGAAGAATCAAGGTGACGGTAAATCTTCAAGGGGAATAGAAAGAAGGGCATGCTCAAAATAATTCAGGCAGTATTCCTTACATGAACTTTGGGCTCCTACAGAATCCTTGTAGAGCTCACGCCTCCAAGTCCCATCAACTTGGCGAAACCTGTAAAATGCACAATATGGAAGATGTACAGCAAATAAGCAGACTAATAGCAGCAACAATTTGCATTTAAGAGATCAGGTGAAAACAATGCACTCATTCAAGAGTTTCTTGAAGCTGAAATGCCAACTGGTATCTAAATGACCAGCCTTGCTGCAATAAGATTCACCATCAGTGACAACATTGTTCGTTCCATATCATGCAATGCTGGTGCGCCTTTGCATAATGTCACCCTGCCCAATTGCTTTAAGAAGTATTTCAGATCAATGAAATGCCAAAAGGCCGCTGATGACCACATTTCAGATCAAGCAAATGTCGCGCATTTCCTCTATGTCTGATTAATCACACAGACACAGCCAACAAAAACAACTGTACTCCGTAGCTACTGATCTGATGATCCCATGTACGTTAGTAGCTACACTACGAATGACATATACGATACCCCTAACCAGATCGTCTTACAACGAAGAGGGTACTAAGCTCCGTTAATCAAGCATCAAGCTACCAGTGCCACGAACTCCCCGATTTCAGCGCCCTAAGCAACATTTCCGAGCCATCTCGACTCGGTTACCCGATCCAAACCAGGGATTACGAGCGCGCAACATCAAGCAGCACAGAAACAGCTAAACGAGCAACGATTGGAAAGCCTTCGAGCGAGCGAGCGCACCTTTTCGCTGAGTCAGACCGCGGGCGAGAGCCTCCACCGCCGCCTCCCGAGCCGAGGCGGTCCCTGACGGAGCGCTTCCGTCCGGAGACCCTGTCGGCGTACATCCCGGGTGCAGGTGGAGGCGAGGACGGTGGCGACGAGCGCGTAGGGTTTCTTCGGCGAGGAGCGGAGCGGCGGAGAGGACAGGGGCAGAATGGGAACAGACGAGACGCAGAGGTGTCCTCCGGAAATTTTCTCAGAAAGGCACCAGTATAATTGCCTCGGAAAAACAAAAGGCCGCTTTAATTCCCATCTCAGCCCAATATGGGCAAGAAAAAAGAAAGATAGCCTGCGGGCTGGGACCGAAATCGGCCCAATATGAGCAAGGTTCGCAATGACCTATGTTTTCAATCGTGCTCCTACGAGATTGCTAGTTAAAGGCTACCCTGCAAGGTCACTCTACACCTTCTCGCAATCTAGCAGTTTTTTTCTTCCATGATTCATTCATTCAAAGATTTTATCTCTTAAACTATGTGTCCAAATACCGAACCATTTTCATTGTCAGATTTCTCCCATCGAGGTGTTCGAAACTAGATCTCATTTTAATAGGTTTCAACGAACTTTTTTTATACCAAAAAGTAAATAAAAATTGCAGGAAAAAAAAGTAAACTAAAAATGAATACCCAAAAAACCCAAAAATGGCAACAACAAAAGGAATACCTAAGAAAAAAGGCGGAGCCCAGAAGCACGGTTGCGGTTTTCA